TGTCCCCTTACAGAGTGGGAGGTATGGTCGGGGCTCAGCGCTCAGCCTCGGTGTGTCCCCTTACAGAGCAGGAGGTACGGTCGGGGCTCAGTGCTCAGCCTCGGTGGGTCCCTGTGCAGAGCGGGAGGTATGGTTGGGGCTCAGCGCTCAGCCTCGGTGTGTCCCCTTACAGAGCGGGAGGTACGGTCGGGGCTCAGTGCTCAGCCTCGGTGGGTCCCCTTACAGAGCGGGAGGTACGGTCGGGGCTCAGTGCTCAGCCTTGGTGTGTCCCCTTACAGAGCGGGAGGTATGGTCGGGGCTCAGTGCTCAGCCTCGGTGGGTCCCCTTACAGAGCAGGAGGTACGGTTGGGGCTCAGCGCTCAGCCTCGGTATGTCCCCTTACAGAGTGGGAGGTACGGTTGGGGCTCAGCGCTCAGCCTCGGTATGTCCCCTTACAGAGTGGGAGGTACGGTTGGGGCTCAGCGCTCAGCCTCGGTGTGTCCCCTTACAGAGCAGGAGGTACGGTTGGGGCTCAGCGCTCAGCCTCGGTATGTCCCCTTACAGAGTGGGAGGTACGGTTGGGGCTCAGTGCTCAGCCTCGGTATGTCCCCTTACAGAGCGGGAGGTACGGTTGGGGCTCAGTGCTCAGCCTCGGTATGTCCCCTTACAGAGTGGGAGGTACGGTTGGGGCTCAGTGCTCAGCCTCGGTGTGTCCCCTTACAGAGCGGGAGGTACGGTTGGGGCTCAGCGCTCAGCCTCGGTATGTCCCCTTACAGAGCGGGAGGTACGGTTGGGGCTCAGTGCTCAGCCTCGGTGTGTCCCCTTACAGAGCGGGAGGTACGGTCGGGGCTCAGTGCTCAGCCTCGGTGTGTCCCCTTACAGAGCGGGAGGTACGGTCGGGGCTCAGCACTCAGCCTCGGTGTGTCCCCTTACAGAGCGGGAGATATGGCTACCAGAGCATCTCCACAGCCCTGAAGACCATCTATCGCAGCGAGGGCCACCGCGGACTCTTCAGTGGCCTGACAGCCACCCTCCTTCGTGACGCGCCGTTTTCTGGAATCTACCTAATGTTTTACAACCAGACCAAAAACATAGTGCCCCAAGGTACGGATAACAGAAGGTGTGGCGGGACCAGATATGTCCAAGGCATCTAGTCCTCACCACCTTCTCTGGGACAGGAGACTGGTTGTCAGCACTGCTGCAGATCTTAGCTGAGTCTAGGAACTGAGTCAGTCAGGCACGGGGCCGGATGCAGAGTGCACAGATCATCCTCACAGACGCGGGCTCTGCCCTGTGGGATTTTATCTGTGACGTTAGAGGACTTAGAGTCTTGTGGTTTGGGGTGGAAGAGGTCCTGCAGCAAGGCTTTGCCAAATGTTCAGATTGCTGGGTCCCCGTTCCTAAGTCAGAAGCTTTGGGGTGAGACCTGGGAGTCTGAATCTTTCCAGAAGCAATTGATGTGATCCTAACCTGGCAGGTCTGGGAAACACCGAAGGCTCAGGAGCTCGAAGGGAAATGTCACTCTCACCTCCGCTCCTGCGCTGCCAGTTGCTGTGGTTTCGAGCGCTCCATTTGGGTGGAGACGGGGTGTCTGGTCTGCAGGCCCACCAGGGGCTGCCTGCCCCACCAGGAAGCTCATGCTGGACTGGAAATGGGCAAAATCAGTGGACGGCAAACACCCACCCAGTGAGGGCAAGGGTGGGTGGAGACATATCCCTTAGGATGAGCCTGCACGCACTGTCTGCAATATCCTGAGCCAGGAACTGTGACAAGGTCATTGGGAAAGCTGAGTGCCCACCATGACTGTGGTGATGCGCTGCAGTTTGGAGGGCTTTGTGTATGCAGTCCCCAGCTTACAACACAGGTTCCGTTCCAATGACTCTGTTTAAGTCGGTTCTGACATAAGTCGAATACCTCATTATTTTTTTTTAGTTTTCATTATTATTGCCTTTTATTATCAGTATCTTTATAAATCCGATCTTTATCTGTCCTTGGGGATTGGCATGAGAATGATAACATCAGCCGATTATGTGCTGCAACGTTGTATGTAGTGCGTGTTACCAACAATAGGATGTACAAACAGCCCGAAGTGCGGTTTGGCATAACGCGGTACACCCTTAGTTGTTGACCTCTGTCTGAGGGACTGGCTGCATCTCACCGGCCGCCAGGACACGGAGCACTGCGGTCACAGCCTTACTCTGCAGTGCAGAAGCTGAGCCAGTAAGGGAGCTTGGATACGCATTCTTAACTGCTTAGTCCAGCTTTAAAAAAATTTAGATGTGGTACTTGTAAATAATTGTAAACTTACAAGCATAGTACAAATAACTTCATATACCCGTTAACATTCTCCTTCTGTACGTATAATTTTTTTTTCTGAGCTATTTGAGAGTAAGTTGCAGGTATGATGCCTCTTCACCCTTAAATACCTTCATGTATATTTCTAAGAACAAGGATATTCTCTCATGTAAACATAGTACAGTTATCACAGTCAGGAAATTCAACATAGGTCTAATTCTTTAATCTATAGTCCATATTCTAATTTTTCCAATTGTTCTAGTAACATGCTGTGTATCAATGTTGTTTTTCTATTTTCAAGAGTATGTTGTTGTGTGCTGTTGAGTCAATTCCAACTCATAGCGACCCTATAGGACAGAGTAGAACTGCCCCATAGGGTTTCTAAGGAGCGACTGGTGGATTCAAACTGTCAGCCTTTTTGGTTAGCAGCCTGAGCTCTTAACCACTGCACCACCAGGGCTCCTTGGCCAATTACATTGTAGAATGTCCCTCAGTGTGTCGATTTAGCTGATGTTTCCTTGTGATTAGATTCTGTTGTACATTGTTGGCAAGAGGACCACAGAAGCGATGCTGCACCCTTGGTGTGTGAGATCAAGAAGCTCATGATGTCGGTTTGTCCCATCATGGGTGACGTTAACTCTGTCGCTCGGTGAAGGTAGTGTCTGCCAGGTGTCTCTACTGGAGACTCAACTGTCTTCCTTCTGTAATTTGTGTCTTTGTGGGGAGATGTGTGGAATCCCCGCAAATGTCCTGTTTTCTTTCACTGTGGAGTCCGTGGAGGCACAAACGGTTAAGCCCTGGACTACTAACCGAGAGGTTGGCACCTCGGAAGACAGGCCTGGCGATCTGCTTCCGAAAGGCCACAGCCTTGAAAACCCCATGGAGCAGTTCTACTCTGCACATGTGGGCTCTCACCGTGAGTGAGAACTAACAATGACCTAAGTCATTTATTATGATAATGGTTGTAAAAAGGTGATTTTCTAACTCCATTATTCCACCTACATTTAGTAGTTGTACTTTTAAAATGTTAGTTCTTAGCTTTGTTCGAATCTAGACCTTTGGGGGCAGAATTCGTGGCAGCTTGCATTGATGTTTGTCTGATGAATGAGGTTTATAACTGAATGTTGCCTTTGTCATATTTCAGACCAGCTGGATGCGGTCCTGATTCCCTTTGTGAACTTCAGCTGTGGAATATTTGCTGGTGTTCTGGCCTCCTTGGTCACTCAGCCCGCAGACGTTGTCAAAACTCATATGCAGCTTGCCCCGGTGAAATGTCGGTGGATTGGCCAAACAGCTGCACTCATTTTTAAAGTAAGGTTGTAGAATAAGTATTGGTTCTTACTGTGGTTAAGGACCTCTTTCTCTAGAGCAGTACTTCTCATCCTTCCTGCCCCTATTAGAATCGCCTGGGGAGCTGTTAAAAATCCCAGTGTCCAGGCTACAACCTGGGCTGCTTCTATGCGAATCTCTGGGGGTGGGGCCCCAGCATCAGCAGCCTTGAAAGCTCTTCAGTGATTTGATGTGTGGCCATGGTTGAGAACCACTGCTAGAGGCCTGTTTTTTTGGTTGAGGGTAGGGGTTGGAGGACACCTACATTGGGACCACCTGCAATATTGATGGAACATGTAGATTTGCTGGGCTCCATGCCAGACCTACTGAATCAGGCAGAGACCTAGGCATCTAATTAAGGACCTAGGAATAAAGACAATTGGAAAAAAACAAAAACACACTGTTTTGTTTCTAGGAGTTTGTTCCAATACAAATGGACAAATGCTATCATTGAAGATAAAAAGTACAATAGATGTGAAGCTATTTAAAAGCTACTGTAGCCCTTTTGGAACATGTACTGTTACTGCAAACTCGATACACTTGTTAAAGATCCATTTGGCACCTACATCTTTAGATTTTTCTGGACTTCTCACTTTTTCTGTGTAATAGATGAAATATGTAACCATATGCACAGTCTCACCCTAGATGTAAGCAGATATTTGTGAATCTGATAATATCCTAAAATCATAAAGTATGAAAATCATATATTCTTTAATACATGTGAAAATTGCAGGTATGATTACAATAAAATCGAACCAAACCCAATTCTAACTCATAGCAATCCCATAGGACAGAGTAGAACTGGCCCGTAGGGTTTCCAAGGCTGTAATCTTTACGGAAGAGCCTTGGTGGCGAAGTGGTTAAGCGCTTGGCTGCTAACCAGAAGGTCGGCGGTTGGAACCCAGCAGCGGCTCCATGGGAGAAGGATGCAGCAGTCTGCTTCCGTGAACATTTACAGCCTCGGAAACCCTGTGGGAAAGGTCTGCTCTGTCCTGCGGGGTCACTGAGTCAGAATCGACTTGGTGGCCGTGGCAGTCTTCACGGAAGCAGAATGCCACATCTTTCTCCTGTGGACTAGCTGGTGGGTTCGAACCTCTGATGTTTGGGTTGGCAGCCGAGTGCTTAACCACTGCGCCACCAGGGCTTCTTATTATAACAGTAGGAATGAGCAAATCAATCCAGATTAGGAAGAGGAGAAAAAGGTGTTTTGTCTTTATAAAGATAGGGCCACTGAGAGAGAGCATACAGTGAATTACAAAAAAGTGCTCCCTCCAGGCAGACAGATTGCAAAAAAGCACCTTTTCCTTCATCCTGGAGCCAGGGCTCAGCTAGCAGACCTCTCTGTCTGGAGTTCAGCTGACACCATGGGCTCGGTGTCTCTGTGCAGTGCACAAACTATACAACTGTACATAGCAGGCCTGTATAGAGATTTTCAGTTAAGATACGGATTTCCCTGGATAGAACAAGCCTCAAAAGATAAAGCCTGGCAACTATGCAAAAAAAGTGTTAAGTTCAACTGGTTGTCCCTGTGGACCCATTAATCACAGTTTTGGCGTTCTGTGAAAGTCGAGCAGTAAGAGTCAGACACGGGGTAACAGACACGCACTGTCATGCCAGGTGGGTGATTAATCACGCTGCTGCTCGGCCTCTGGGGTCTCACCCTCATTTCCATTGCAGGACCACGGGCTGCGTGGCTTCTTCCAAGGCTGGGTCCCCCGGGCCCTCCGCAGAACCCTGATGGCGGCGATGGCATGGACAGTCTACGAAGAGATGATGGCCAAGATGGGCCTCAAATCCTGACCGAGAGGGGACTGCTCCTGTCACCATCCTGGAGTAAGATGAAGTGCAGTCTGGGACCCAGGCAGACACGCTGCCTTCAGTGCCCCATTCAGGTAGAGAAATGAGGCCTGGCTCGAGCTCCAGAAGTCTCTCAAAAGAGGAATCGCCCATACAGACACCACACTGGGAGTAATGGGGAGTTAGGAGAAAGGTTTGTACACGCTACAAGCCTACTCGGAAAGGTGTTGTCCAGAGAGAGCTCCATCAGCTGGTCTGCGTTAGCCACCTGTCTATACCATCGTGTCTCCGTGGATACCTTGTGGGGCAAGAAGTCACAACCCCAGAGAAGCCGTAGGCCACCTGCTGTGTCTGGGGAAGGATGTAGGGTGAGGAAGGAAAGATATTGTTTACTTGGTTCCTTATCAGCTTCTCAGAGGCTCTGGAGAACAGGGACAGTGGCTTCCTAGCCTAGACATGTTGTCTAAATAAATGTTGTCTTGGCCCCTGAACTGTTTCAACTGTAAGTTGTTCTGGCATTTTCTGGAACTAAATTTCAGATAAATAAAATGAAGCACTTTATCATTGGAAGCTGCTTGGAAAACCTAAATAGTGTTGTCGCTCTGTTTAAAAATAATGTAATAATTTTAGGGTAACTGGCTCTTGACCCACATAGGTCCCTGAAGCCCACATTTTGAACAAAACCAAACCCACTGCCATTCCAACTCATGGCGACCCCATGTGCTACAAAGGAGAACCGCTCCATAGGGTTTGCTTGGCTGTAATCTTTATGGAAGCAGATTGCCAGGCCTTTTTTCCGTGACGCTGCTGGGTAGGTTTGTCTGCCAACCTTTAGGTTAGTAGTTGAGTGCCAGCTGTTTATGCCATCTGAGGGCCTTACAGATCATACAGTTTACCCATTTCATGTGTACAATTCAGTGATTTTTCATAACTTTATGAAGTGGTACAACCATCACCATAAATCAGTTTTAGAAAATTTTCATCCCCAGTAAGGTCCCTCCTGCCCACTTAACAATTAATCTCTGTTCCCACCTCCAGCCCCAGGCAGCCACTGATGTATTTCTGTGTCTATAAATTTGCCTTTTCTGCACACTTCATGTTAATGGGACCATCCAATATGTGGTTCCTGATGCCTGGCTCCTTTCACTTAGTATAATGTTTTTGAGGCTCATCCATGTTGTAGCGTGTATCAGTACTTTGCTCTTTTTTTATGGCCAAATAATAAGTCCATTGTATGCATACACCACGTTTGATTTATCCATTCATCAGATGAGGAACATTTGGATTGCTTCCACTTTTAGGCTATTATGAACAGCATTTGTGAACATGTTTCTATGTGAGCGTATGTTTTAATTTCTCATGGGCTGATACCTAGGAGGAAAATACTGGGTCATATGGTAACTCTTAAGTTTAACCACTTGAGGAACTGTCAGACTGTTTTCCAAAGTGGCTGAAACATTTTACAATCCCACCAGCGACGCGTGAGGGTTGCAGGTCCTCCACATCCTCGCCAACACTCATTATTGTTTTATGTATTATATCGGTCATTCTGGTGTGTATTCCAATTTTTTCTATCACCTTTCAAATTTAGGAAAGGGCCATTATTTTATCCAGGCAGCAGAAGGGGCAAGCTTGGTCTAGTGGTTAAGAACATGGCTCTGGGTTCAGGCAGCCCCTGTGGAAAACCTGGCTCCCCGTTCACTTAGACATGTCACTGACCCTGCCCTGGGAGATGGGGAGAGTGATGTTTCCT